AGGGCTGGATTAGTCAGGGAGAGAAGTTGTGGTTCATATTTTACATGATTAATTCTTGTGGTCCTCATTTAAGCACACCAGCAAGCTTAGACCGTACACGTGTGAGAGCCTCTAGAAAGCTGGTTTTCACAAAGGTGACTCTCAGATCCAGTATCAATCCACTCAGTTCTAGAGGATCATAGTCAAGTCCCATAACAAAGGACTCAATAAATCTTTCATAATAAAAGTTTGTTTTAAAAATATGTTTTCAAAAAGGCAGCAATTTCTTCAGTTTGTATTTTATATTTTTTACAATGTTCTGTACTTGTTTTAACCTAATAGATTTATTTTATGAGGTATATGTTTTTAAATTCTGAGAGGAACTTATGGAATTTTTAAGGAAGGAATAAAATCCATTCTTAGGTCTTAAAGAATCAGATGTTTTAGGTTCATGAAGTGATATATCTATTCCAAATTTTTTCTCCATAATATTTTTATTAATTATTTGGAAACTTCACTTTATGAACCCTAAGCATTATTTCCCAGTTCTCCTAGATCTGCACCCCTACATTGGAACCTTGATCCCAAAAAAAGAAGAAGAAGGAAAAAGAAAAAATAAAAACAAACCAAAATGAAACAAAAACAAGTCCAATTTGTGTTGCCCATATAATCACTGGAGCATGGTCAAAATTCCTTTGCCAGTCCTTTAAAGAAAACGGAGTTTTTCTTCATCCACACCCCCAGCAGAAGCCTTCAACTGTGGAGAATTAAACTTCAGCAGCCCAGTACCAATTCCTTTTTTCTTTCCCTCCTCTCCTCCCTCCCTCCCTCCTCCCCTCCCTCCCTTCCTCCCTCCCTCCCTTCCTTTCTCCCCCCTACCTTTCTCTGTCTCTCTTCCTTCCCTCCCTCTTTCCCTCCCTCCCTTCCATCCTTCCTTTCTTTTGTTTTTCTGAGACAAGGTTTCTCTATATAACAGTCTTGAAGTACTGGCTGCCCTAGAACTCACTCTGTAGATCAAGTTGGCCTCGAACTCATAAATATCTGCCTGTCTCTGCCTCCCGAATGCTGAGATTAAAGTCAAGCACCACCACGGCATGGCCCCATCACAATTTTTAAGAGTTTTCTTCAATAGTCTTCTGTCTAGACTGTTATTTTTTGGGGGTGTGGGGTGTGGGTAGCGGTTGTCACAGAAGCCCGCCATTTGTCTCTCTCTCAGCTGTGCGTCTGCGGCCATCAATAACAAGGCGAAAGTGGCTTCCTTGACCTTCACTGTCAGTGGAAGCACAGTTCACGGACTTTCACATGGTTTCTGGTGACAGCATGGACAATGGCTATCTCCAGCATCAGCCCATGGCACAGATCTCAACATGGTCTCTGGCCATGTACAGACCAGTGGCAAGTACAGACCAGAGATACCAATTCAGCCCCTCTGCTGCTGTCATAAACGCCCTCATAGCCCTCAGCAGTAGCGCAGACCACAGACATCTGCACAGCCTTCAGTGACATCACAGGCCACAGACATCAACACAAATCCTGGTTGCAGTAGGTCCACAAACCCAGACATGGCCCTTGGTGGCAGCCCCCACCAATATCGTTATGGCTCTTGGCGGCAACATAGCTCACAGACACCAACATGGCCTCAGGTTACAGCACAGACCACTGACATGACATGGCCTTGGGTGGTAACACAGGCCATGGGTATCAACACAGATCCCAGCTGTAATAGGGCCATGTGTATCCCATATTTAAAGGGGATCTCGAATATCCTCAACTGCTTTCCTTTTGACTAACCAGAGGCCACTTTATAGCAAAAGCAATTTTGCTGAGTATGACCCTTAGGACATCTTTGCAATAGCACTTACATTTTCTTACTCAGGTAAGGAACAATTCTTCCTTGTGGCAAAATATTTACAGAAGACTACGAAAAGGTAATAATAAGCCACAATCTCATTATTCAAAATAACTGTAATAATTTAGTATATTTTCTCCTAAAATAATAAAAGCTAAAGGTTTTTATTAATTATCTGATAATTTTACATAATGTATTTTGATCACATTCACCTCCGTCACCCAACTCCTTCTGTATCTACCCTCCCCACCTTCCCTACAAACCTAACTTTGAGTTTTCTTCTCCTTTCCTCCGTAAGTCCAGTTCATGTTACTCTACTACTCTTAGTCATGTGGCTTGCCCTAGAATTTGGTTGATCTACCAGGGGTCACATCACTAAAGAATAACTTTAAGAATTAAAGTATATACTAATTTTATAAATTCTGTATTACATATAAGCTTATCCCAGCATAGGAATTTTCAAGCCTACGATCAGTTTTTAAAACTAGGAATTGAATTACTTCATAAGATCTCTAAGCAATTTAATATGTATAATGATATTAAAAGCATATTCTTAACACCATTTATTTGTATAGAAGAAAAACTATCAATTATTGCTAGAATGTGAGCTAGATGTCTCAGTGGTTAAAAGTATTCATGGTCCTTCCATAGAATCTGAGTTTATTTCCTAGTATCCACATTGGATGATACAAAATTGCCTGTAACTCTAGTTCCAAGGGATCTGATGCCTTCATCTGGCCTCAACTGGCAGCAGCTGCACACACACACACACACACACACACACACACACACACACACACACAAACACACACACACACACGCACGTGAAAATAAATTTCTAAAAATGAAAACATGTGCTTTTGAACTGTTTCTTTCCTGACTCCGGAGTCATCAGTATTGATGATGTAAAGTTTTAGTGACCCTGGTAAGTACTTATGAGTGGGACAGTAAGAGGAAGAGACTGGAAGATAAGAGGAGGCCAACGGCAGAAGGTGGTGTGGTATGAACTTCTGCCATTCATCCACTGTTTCAGCTAACTCTGGCTAGTTAAGATCACCAGGAGATTTATATGACATACGTCCACTAAAAAGTCATACCAACTCCAGGAAAGCCACACCTTATAATATTGCCACTCCCTATGAGATTATGGGAGCCTATAACATTCAAACATCACATTCCACTCCCTGGCCCCCATAAGCTTGTAATAATACAAAGTAAAATGTATTTAGTCCATTTTCAAAAGTCCCCATAGTCTATCACAGTCTCAATGTTATTTAAAAGTCCAAAGTTTAAAGCCTCTTCTGAAATTCACGCAATCTCTTAACTGTAATCCCCTATAAAATGAAAATAAAATGTCACATACTTCCAATATATAATGGTACAGGATATACATTACTATTCCAAAACACAAGGAAGGGAGCATAGAGAGGAAATACGGGAGCAAAGAAAGACTGGAAACCAGTTGGGCAAACTCCAAACTCCTCATCTCCATGTCTGATGTCAAAATGCTCTTCAGATCACCACTTCTCTTCATCTTTGTTGACTGCAGCACAGTTGCTTCTATTTGGCTAGCTCCACTCCCTGTTATCAGCTCCCCTCATTAGCTGTGCACGACTCTGGCATCTCTTACATCTTGGATTCTCCAAGACAATGCAGGCTTCAACTTCATAGCTTGATGAAACAGTCTTTCTGGGATCATTCAGGGACACTCCTGACACATTCCTGACCTTAGTAGCTCTCTTTACATGTGGAGTCAAAACATAAACCATTTTTTCTCTTCGTCACTCTAAAGCCAGAACCACATGTCCCAAACCTGCCAAGTTCTGCTGCATGCTGGGGCTGGGACATGGCCCTCTTATTCAATTACTTCTTCACCAGTTGTCTGTCTTTCACTGCCTAAGTTTGGCTGCCCTGCAACTTGCTCTGCTGACCAGGTTGGCCTCAGACTCAGAGATCTGCCAGCCTCTGCTTTCCCAGTGCTGAGATTAAAAGTATGCCTTTCCACACCCTGCTCCAATTTTTCTTTAATTCTTTTTCACAGACTGGAAATGTAACTGGGTGGGATCTTGCCCTGAGGTCACTACTCCATTTACTCAAGTTCTTAATCTGTTTATCTCCTGGAACACAGGACTCCATTCTACTTTCTGATGTTCTTTTTCTCCTAAAAATTTTTCCTTGCACAGCTTTCTTCTTTTCATTATAAATCTCCATCAGAGTTATCACTAATAACCATATAACAGAGTCTATACCAGGTTGTTTTGAGATTTCTTCTTCCAGTGGAATTAATCCAAAACTCTTCACTTTAGCCTCAGGCAGATTCTTTGGACAAGGGCCCAAAACAGCCACATTCTTCATCAAAATACTGCAAGACCAGTCTCTATGCCACACCAACTTTCTCCTCTGAAACCCCTTGATCCCTACAGTGCATCAAGTCACAATCAGCAACACTGTCTTTCATGTTTCTACTGTTATGGCCCATTAAACAGTGCTGAAAGCATCCCACTGATTTCCAAACCTAAAGTACCAAGTCCATATTCCTCCAACCAAACACATGGTCAGCAATACTCTGGTACCTGGTACTAACGTCTGTTGTAGTTAGGGTTTCTACTGCTGTGAAAAGACACTATGACCACAGCAACTCTTATAAAGAAAACATTTAATTGGGGTTGTTCGCTTGCAGTTTCAGAGGTTCAGTCCATTATCATCATAGTGGGAGCATGATGACATACAGGTACACATAGTGCTGGAGGAGTAGCTGAGAGTCCTACATCTTGCAGGCAACAGGAGGTTGGCTGAGACGCTGGGTGGTATTCTGAGCATAGGAAACCTCAAAGCCTGCCCCGGCAGGGACACACTTCTTCTGTCAAGGCAATACCAACTCCAGAAAAGTCACACTTAGGAGTGTTGCCACTCTTTATGAGATTATGGGGTGCAATTACATTCAAACTATCACAGCAGCCTATACAGAAGATCAGAGAGAAAAGTGTTTTTCTTCCTTCCTGCTTGCCTTCATCTCTTGTAAAGGGAGACTGCACTTTAGTTTCCTGGCTTCCCTGACCCAAACAATCACACAGAAACTATATTAATTACAACACTGTTTGGCCAGTAGCTTAGGCATATTCCTAGCTCTTACATCATAAATTAACCCATTTCTTTTACTCTGTGTATCGTGATGAGGTTGTGGCCTACCGGTAAGGTTCCAGCGTCTTTTTCCTTCAGCAGCTTCTTTATTAAACAACGTTAGAAAACATATTCACAGTATACAGAGGGGAGTCCTGCGTCATCTTTTCACTAATGAGTGCATTTATTCTGCTGCCTCCATTGCTGCTGCTCTTGTGTTCTGTCGCTGACAGAAGAACCCAGCTTCTCCAGGCATCCTAGTGAATCTCCAGTGGTCCTTTAGGTCTTTAGTACCGGACGAGCATTGCTGAGCCACCCCACCCCTGTAATGGAAAGGCACCCATTGTTGAAACCCAGACCATGTTATATAAACCGATGTAATTCTCTCAGTATAGATTCATTCCAGCAGTTCTCTTCTTCTACAGATTAATGATGCATCAACTTTCCTGTTTAGGCTGCCATGACATGAAATCAATATCAAATGTATAGATGTCTGGCCTGGGGACAAATGTCTATGAGAAGGTAAGACCATGAAAGTTAAAGAATATGATAGAGCTTGAGGAATCTGCGGGAGCGGCCAAGTGGTGCGAGAAAAGCACCGAGACTTCGTGGCAGAGCCCATGGGGGAAAAGCCAGTGGGAAGCCTGGCTGGGATTGGTGAAGTCCTGGGCAAGAAGTTGGAGGAAAGGGGCTTTGATAAGGCTTATGTGGTTCTTGGCCAGTTTCTGGTGCTAAAGAAAGATGAAGACCTCTTCCAAGAATGGCTGAAAGACACGTGTGGTGCCAATGCCAAGCAGTCCCGGGACTGCTTTGGGTGCCTTCGAGAATGGTGTGATGCTTTCTTGTAGTGCACTCTGGGGACTTCTTAGTCACCCCAGCCACAGAATCTAGTCTCCAGAGTCGGCAGCTGGGTGGGGCTCCTCCCTTTCCCCATGAAGGAAAAGATTGCTGTTGTCACAGCCACCTCCTGTGTACTCCAGGGTCTTTTGGGAGTTCTCTTCCCCACAGCATTTCATCCATTTTGGAATTCTTGTCCCTGTATGCCTTGCCTCTCCTCCCACTGCAGGTCGATGGCAACAGCTACCAGCTTTCCTGAATGGACTTCTGGTCCCTTTCTCCCTCCCTTCACCATCTGTTGGATGCCCTTTGGCTCTCCCCCACTTTTTTTGGCAAAAATAGTCACTCTCCTTATAAATATTTCTAGATTAATAAAGTCAGTGGCCTTCCTAAAAAAATAAAGAATATGATAGATGTGCTTTAGGCTATTACTAATAATGTAAAAGTTAGAATCCATGGTTTTGGCTTGAGGATTTTTTTTTCGATTCCTGGATTCAGTAGTTGTCTCTGTTTATAAACAGTACATTCCAGAATTCTTAGTAGATGTCTGAAACTATGAGCAGCACCCAGTCTTAACTATAGACTGCACTTCCTCACATTCATGGGTGCTTGTGATGTAATGCAATTACAAACTTGCCATAGCAAGAGGTAACAGGATAATACAACTGTTATAACAACATACTGTAACACAGTGACCTTTATTGTTACTCTTGACCTCGGGGCCAATATTAATGAAGAATTACTTGAACTCGAGACTCATACTGGCTGCTCTTCCAGAGGACCAGAGTCACCAGGAAATGAATAATTGGTGTGGGACAATGGTCTGTATTCTGTCAATTATATTTTAACTAAACTTTGATTGGCCAGTAGTCAGGCAGGAAGTATAGGCAGGACAGCCAGGCAGGAAGTACAGGTGGGTCGATGAGAACAGGTAATTCTGGGAAGAAGGAAGTTCTAGTCTGCAGACGTGACCCAATCACAGAAGAAGCAAGATGTGACTGCCTCACTGAATAAAGTACCGAGCCACATGGCTAACATAGACAAGAATAATGGGCTAATATAAGTTACAAGAGTTAATAAGAAGTCTGAGCTAATGATCAAATCAATTTATAACTAATGTAGAACTCTGTGTGATTTCTTTGGAACCTAATGACTGTGGGAACTGGGCAGGACAGAAAACCCTCAGAATACAAATAATTATGTGTAACTCCTGTTGCTGGGAATCTGGCACCCTCTTCCGGCCTCCACAGGCGCCTGGTATGCAGGGGGTGCACAGATATACATGCAGAAAACAACCATACACATAAAAAATTATAATACTGAGTTACTTGAACCCAAACACTGTGTTACCACCATATCAGTTCATCTAATGAGAGCTTAGGTTATAGGTCATGGACACGCTGGACAAAGCAATGACTTCAAAGGAGTGGAATGGAGCAGGATGGGCCGAAATTTTATCATATGACTCAGAATAGCACACATTAAAACTTCCCATTGTTTATTTCTGGGCTTTTTTTGGTTAGTATCTTTATACCATATCAGACTCCTGTGGCAGAAACCAAGGAGAGCGAATCCAGAGCTCATGAGAGCCACAGCATTTGCTATGACTCCTTGCTGTCACCTGATTGCCTTGTCCTTCACATGCTTATGGTTCACATCCTCCTCACACTCCCATCCACGGAACCTCTCCTCTTTGAACTCTGTATATCAACTGTTTTTTTTCCCCTCACACAAGCACATTCTAAGTCTGAGAAAGCTTTCCTAACTGTGGGTTCTATCTTCCCAACCTGGCTAAAAGTCCTATCCCTCTGGGTTCTGATTGTAAAAGGGTCAAAACAATTGCTTCCTGTCTTTCTTTAGGCCTCTTAGCTTACAACCCATCTCCTCACACACGTCACAAGTAAGCAGTGCTTTTCACACCCTGTGTCGCTGTATTTTTTTTTTTTTGAGACAGGGTTTCTCTGTAGCTTTGAAGCTTGTCCTGGAACTAGCTCTTGTAGATCAGGCTGATCTCAAACTCACAGAGATTCACCTGAATCTACCTCCCGAGAACTGAGATTAAAGGTGTGCGCCACCACTACCCGGTGGTGTCTCTGTATTTTATTCTTCATTTAGATTTGTCATTTGTCCATCCCATATCCCTTAAATTTACTGTTATGTTTAAGTTAGAACACTGTTCTTGGTTTGTAATGTTTTCGAGGGAGGTGGGAAGAAAATTACAAACTTTATGAACCATTGTAAGATAAATTAGCCCCAAGGTATGGATTCTTGGCTTGCATTTTAGATTTTGTTTACTAAAAGAGGCCTTCACAGTGCTTTGGATGAAGAAGCTGAGAGTGTTATGCAGACTGTTATATAAATATTTAGAGTGCCATGCAAGAAAAATTCACTTTGCAAAATGGCTGCATGTTTAATTTATTCTTCCTTGGAGAATTGCTCCGCACTAGAAGCTATGTCGTGAGCAGTGGCTATGTGCAGTGTGGTTTGGAGGTTAAGAGCCAACTGTAGAGACTGAGGTTATTTCATTTCCCTTTAAGTAGCTGTGGTCACTCATCCAGTCATGGGCTAATGACTGAGCATTGGAGTTCCACACACACCATTTTAAGTAGACTTCAAGTTGCTTTGGAGTTAGCTGCCTAGAAATCATGTCTGGGTTCTAGAAAGGAAAAAAAATAGTTTCTCTTAACCTACAGACATGTTTAACTATTTTTCTTGAGTGTTTCTATTTTTATCATGGTAAACAAACACTTATTTCGCTGGTATTATATTAACAGCTGGAAGTGAATATATCAAATGGGTGTCTTACAGTGCAATTTTAATATTTGTATTTGTGTAAAAATCTTTTTGATATCCTGCACTAACATTTTGGCAATTTTTAAATTGATTTATATGCAACTCTGCCAAGCAAATGAACATAATGTGATTAGGTGGATCAGTTGTAAACTTTGCTGGCCATTCTGTCAAAAACACAAGAAAAAAATGACTTTTCTTTGAAACTAAGAAAGAAAATTACTTTTCTTTGAAAACATTCAACTAATTTTTATTAATAAGATGGCCTTCCAGGTTTACACGAAAACAAAGAAAGCCAGAAATAAACAAAATGGTTTGTCTAAAGTTTGTTACCTTTAATTTTAACTTTCTAACAGTAATTGTGGTAGGTACTGCAAGTGAAAGTATCAAATGAGAAATAATGATAATGTAGCTCAAGAGAAAGACATGAAATAAAGGGAAATGCTGCAGGGGGATGTGAAGGGGGTGAGGGCACCATGTTCACAAAGCCTGTGTCGTTTCCTAAGAACCAGGGCTGCTTATGACTCAGTTCAACCACATGAAAGACTTAGATATAAGACCAGTGCACAAAACCTACTAGGAAGTCAATGCCATTTTACTGTGTTCACTTAAGACCATGTAGTGACGTTCACTTAAGACTGTCTTACTATGTTCACTTAGAACCCTCTAACTCAGCTCCCCATATTCATCAGGTTAGCCTGTCAGTCATTATGGCTGTTGGATTTTTGATTCTATTCCATCTTATTTCTAAACAATTTTGAAAAATAACTCACCAGCTTATTAAGCAAACGTCTTAAGATTTAATTTGTGTTTTGGACGTTATTTATGCCAACTAATAAAATGTGCAATGTAAGACTTATTGCATCAGATTTATGTCATATTTTATCCAGACTTTCTGTGGTGAAAGAAACTTCCTTAATATTGTAAGAAACATTTCATATTTAGAAACTTCCCACTGCAGAGATCTTCTCTAGGGTAAAGGTATTGGTGATCCTAAGTTCAAATAAGAGTTGTTTGTTCTGTCCACTTCAGTTTAGTAAATTTTAGAAAGATACTCTAAACTGTAGATTATGTTAATTTGAAACTGCCTTTACTTTTATTCAATGTGCTCCTCAAGGTATCGCCACTAGGGAGATGACTCAATGGTCCCCAACATGTGTGAGTGGCAAGCAGTTTATTAATAGAATGAGGAGCTTTGCGTCTATACTTGGATTATATATTTGAGGCTCCCCAGAGAGTCTAATACAGACTGGTCATGGTTTTATTTAGGACTTGGACATTCATTCTAGAAGGACAAGATAAAAATAATAACCATTATGCTTTTTGGGATGCTTTATGCCACCACAGTAGGGTTTTCCTCATGATCCTAACCAAACTCAGGTGACTTAAAGTAGCACAGAATGTTTGAGTCAGCTTTTGAAAACTGCTGAGATTCCAATGAACTATAAGAATTATCTGACTCAAAAATGAACAAATAAACAAAAAGATATACAAATCTTTCCTAAGAGTATCTGAGATAATGCTTTGAATGTTCTGAGAAGATGAAAGTGGGTGCTTTGTCCTCAGTCTATGTCATTAGAAATGGCCGAGGGCTTCTATGCACTTTCTTGTGACTAATCACAATTTGACATGACTAGAGTATTTCCAGTCTTTGTTATTTCTCCATCCCTTTGTTCTGCCTCTCCTCTCTTACTTCCTCCTAATCTCCTCCTCCCTCTTTTTTAAGAGAGGATTCATCCTGGTGTGTGTGTGTGTGTTACAGAGAAAATGCACACATCGCCTGACATCTATTAGCCTTATTTAGCTACTCTCATTCTCTATATGCATTACATATGAAAAGTAAACACTCAGCATAAAACAAATTGTGGTTTCTGACCACATATTCATCTTAATATAGATGGTATGTACAACATTTTTAACTAGAAACACCCTTAAGACCTCGTGGTGCTTCTGTTTGCCATGAACAAACAGGGTTGAATCACCAGGTCTTCGAAAGAATTTCAGTAATACAGTTCAAATAATCAAGAAGTTCTTTTCCCAGGAAGCTTCAAATCCGAGGCTCTATGTCTACTCATCATGACGGTATAACAGTACTGACTGACTGCTGTAGAAAATCCATCAGTCGCAAGAACAGATTGCTCCAGTCTGCTGTCAGGTGTCTGCACACTGATTCTCCAGGGCGGCCGGTGCCTGGAGAAGAAATAAGAGTGAGTGATGGCTG